GCCTGTAGTCCCAGCTACATGGGAGGCTGAGGCAGCAGGATCGCTTGAGCCCAGGAGTTTGAGGTTGCTGTGAGCTAAGCTGACGCCACGGCACTCACTCTAGCCCGGGCAACAAAGCAAAAAAAAAAAAAAAAAAAAAAAAACCAGATGGGAATGCAAATAGCCCAATGAATACTGAGCAAAAAGAACAAAACCAGAGGCATCACACTACCTGACTTCAAAGTATACTACAAAGCTATAGTAACCAAAACAGCATGGTATTGGTATACAAACAAATACATAGAACAGTGGAACAGAATGGAGAACCCCAAAAGAAATCCATTTATTTACAGACAGCTGATTTTTGACAAAGACATCAAGAATATACACTGAGGAAAGGACACTCTCTTCAATAAATGGTGCCAGGAAAACTGGATATTCATACGCAGAAGAATGAAACTAACTTCCCATCTCTCACCATATATAAAAATCAACTCAAAATGGATTAAAGATTTAAATGTAAGACCTGAAATTATAAAACTACTAGAAAAAAATATAGGGAAGTTCTTCAGGACATTCGTGTAGTCAAGGATTTTATGGCTAAAACTTCAAAAGCATAAACAACAAAACCAAAAATAGATAAATGGGACAGTGTTAAACTAAAAAGCTTCTGCACAACAAAGGAAACAATCAACAGAGTAAAGAGACAACCTGTAGAATGGGAGAAAAAAATTGCAAACTATTCATCTGACAAGGGACTAATATCAAGAATGTATAAGAAACTCAACAGTAAAAAAGTCAAATAATCCCATTAAAAAGTGGGCAAAGGACATGAATAGACATTTCTCAAAAGAAGACATACAAATGGCCAACAGGTACATGAAAAATACTCAACATCACTGATCATCAGAGAAATGCAAATCAGAACCACAACAAGATATCATCTCACTCCAGTTAGAATAGCTATTATAAAAAGACAAAAAATAATAAATGCTGGCGAGGATGCGGAGAAAAGAGAACTTGCATATGCTCTTGGTGGGAATGTAAATTAGTACAGCCATTATGGAAAATAGTACCGCAGTTTCTCAAAAACCCTACAGCTAGAACTGCCAATCCCAGCAATCCCACAACTGGGTATTTATCCAAAGGAAAGAAAATCAGTATATCAAAGGGATACCTGCACCCCTATATTTTTAATATTTTTATTTTTTAATTTTTTTCACTCCCATATTTATTGTAGCACTATTCATAATAGCCAAGTTAAGGAATCAACTTATGTGTCCATCAAAGAATGAATGGATAAAGAAAATGTGGTATATATAAACAATGGAATACTATTCAGCCATGAAACCTAGTCATTGGCAGCAACACAGATGGAATTGAAGGTCATCATGTTACGTGAAATAAGCCAGGCACAGAAAGGCAAATATCGTATGTTCTCATTCGTATGTGGGAGCTAAAAAGTGTCATGTCATGAAGAGAAATAGAATGATGGTTGCAAGGGCTAGAAAGGAGAGAATAAAGGGAGACTGGTTAATGGGTACAAACATACAGTTAGATAGAAGGAATAAATTCTAGTGTTCGGTAGCATAGTAGCATGATAACAGTTAACAACAATTTATTGTATATTCCAAAACAGCTAGAAGAGAAGATTTGTAATGTTCCCAAAACAAAAAAAAAAAGATAAATGTTTGAGGTGCTGGATATCCTAATTATTCTGACTTGATGATTACACACCATATGCATGTATCAAAATATCACATGTACCCTATAAATATATACAATTATGCATCAGTAAATAAAAACTAGATGGGAATGTACCAGCTCTTCCCTGGAGAGTGAGAAGGACCTAGATTGGGAGTGGGTTCTCTGAGGGCTGAGCAAGGGGAACAAGAACTACAAATAGGAAGGAAATGCTGCCAACCTGGGAGCAAAGAAAAGTAACTGTGATATTATCCAGGCATAGTGGCATGTGCCTGTAATCTCAGCACCTTGGGAGGCCCAGTCAGGAGGACTACTTGAGGCCAGCAGTTCGAGACCATTCTGGGTGATACAGCAAGACTCCATCTGAAAAATAGAAAAAAGAAAGAAACTGCATTGAGTCAGTCTATTTGGAATATTATAATTTGTTTAAATGGAGAAGTTTATAATTTGCATCCATTGAAGTACAGAGTCACCAGAAAAAAAAAAGTTTATAAGAACTCTACAAATGTAAGATCATTTTATTACATGGAACTCTTGTGCTGCAACTACCTGGGAGACAATGTCCAACAATACCAGATTCATGACATTGACATCAACAAAAAGTACCAAGTGCTGATTCAAGCCCTAGGAGCCATGGGAGAGCCCTAAATTGCACAGCAGAGTCTTCTGAGAGCCAGTGGCGGCTGCTGGCCGGTAACAGGTGAGCATGTGGGTCGAAGGAAAGGAGGAGACTGGCAAGGATTATATTTTACTTTTAAAAATATATATTTCATGGTTTTAATAAATTATGCAAATACTAGCTGTCTATTCCAGGAAACCCAAGAAATACAAACAAGCAATTAATAAGATTCTCTTAAATCTGGTTTAATTCTGCCCAGAGGCCAACACAGATGACATTTTTCTGTGTGTGTTTCCAAAAGTGGGATTAGACTACTTATGCTGTTTTATAACCTGCCTTTTTAATTCATAGTGCCTGCTGAACACTTTTGTTTCCTTATAAATAAAAAATGTCAAAGGATAATTTTTCCAAAAGGTAAAAAAAATTGTTTTGTTTTTGTTTTTTTGAGGAAGAGTTTCATTCTGTTGCCCTGGTTGGAGTGCAGTGGTAGCTGCACTCATAGCTCACAGCAACCTCAAACTCCTGGGCTCAAGCAATCCTCCTGCCTCAGCCTCCCAAAATGCTAGGATTACAGGCATGAGCCACCGTGCCCAGCCAAAAAGGTAAAAATTTAACCCTCATATACATGTTTAGTAAGCATGTGTCATGTTCTTTAATGAAGTAACCAAAGGATGGTAAATCTTCTTCAATGGAGGAACAGAAATTTATATAGTCAGTGAAAAAAAATATATTTATTAATAAATAAGATTTCTAGGTTAGATATGAAATCGTTTAGTATTTATAAGGCAATGAACTTGCATCCTTTGGGGTTATTTTTTTCTACTGGACAGAAATAATTTGCAATTTATAGCTATATAAATTTATACATACCTCATAGAGTCTTGGCCCTTAAGTGCATAGTCAGTTAAACAAAGTACATTTCTCTAGGGCAGTGACTCTCAACAGAAGGTGATTTTGCCTCCTAGGGACATTTGACAATGGCAGAAGACATGTTTGATTGTCACGACTTGGAGGGTGCTACTGGCACCTAGTGGGTAGAGGCCAGAGATGCTGCTGAACATCCACAACACACACACAGGACGGCTCCTCACAGCAAAGATGCGTCCAGCCCAAACCGTGAGCGGCACCTCCCTCTACCCAGTAGATGCTAGCAGCACCCCCACACTTGTGAGAACCAAATGTCTCCAGACATTGCCAAATGTTCTCTGGGGGGCAAAATGCCCCAGTTCAGAACCACTGCTCTAGGGCTGTGCTCTAAAAATGCATAACCACTAGCCACATGTACCTATTGTTTGTTTATTTATTTATTTACATGTCGTAAGTTGATTCACAAACATTTCTAGCACAATACACGGGTTCAAGTTTGTTCCATTTTTTGAAGAGATTGCACCTTTTAAAATGCTCTGTTTTGGATTTTTTTTTTTTTGGTTTTTTTTTTTTTTTTTTGAGACAGAGTCTCACTTTGTTGCCCAGGCTAGAGTGAGTGCCGTGGCGTCAGCCTAGCTCACAGCAACCTCAAACTCCTGGGCTCAAGCCATCCTCCTGCCTCAGCCTCCCGAGTAGCTGGGACTACAGGCATGCGCCACCATGCCCGGCTAATTTTTTCTATATATTTTTAGTTGGCCAATTAATTTCTTTCTATTTATAGTAGAGACGGGGTCTCGCTCTTGCTCAGGCTGGTTTCGAACTCCTGACCTCGAGCAGTCTGCCCGCCTCGGCCTCCCAGACTGCTAGGATTACAGGCGTGAGCCACCGCGCCCGGCCCTTCACATCTGTTAAATGGATGAACTAATATATCCTTATTAAGTGGTTGGTGTCTTACGATTAACATAAAGGTGCAGCAAATCCAAATGCAAAGTACAAAGTCATCATAATCGGTGATGGCCACTTGCTTTCCACTGAAAATGGCAACTTCCTCCGCAGGCGCTCCTCTCAGGGGCTCCTCTGGCCGCAGGTTGAGCCTCAGACGCCGTGAGACGGCTGGCAGGCTCCGCGCGGCCGGCGGCGAGCTGTGACGGAGCGCCGCACCGCGGCCTGGCCTGCAGCGAGGCCTGCCTCCAGGTGCGGTCGCAAAACGCGGTTTCAGGCAGACATTACACGGTGCTCACTGCGCGCCCGTCTCTGCTCGCAGCGCCTGAAACGTACTGACATTTAATCTTCACAGCAACTGCACGAGTACAGGCTATTGCGGTCCCCACTTCACCGACGAGGGACCCAAGGCACGGAGACTAACTTCTTAGGGGACTGTGTTTTACCAAACATGGACGGCCGTTCATTCTAAAACATCAGCCGGGTTCTGTCTGTGACAGGAGCTGTGCCAGGCGCTGGGAACACAAGATAAAATCGTAGTCAATATGTTTGAGCATACGTCAGGCTTGGCGTTAGAGCTTTACATAATTTTATTTATAGACTCATAACAACCTTGAGAGCTAGCTATCTCTATATCGTTTGATTATTATGGGAATAAAAGTTTGACGTGGTTCAGTAACTTGACAAACTCATCTGGCGGGCGCCCGCGGAGCGCGCCTTTCAGTTCCAGCCAGCCGCTCCCTTCCCGGGAAAACGCACCTGGCCCCGCCCCTCCGCCAGGGCTGCCCCCCGCCCCTCCGCCGAGCCGACCCCGCCCCTCCGCCGAGCCGGCCCCGCCCCTCCGCCGAGCCGGCCCCGCCCACGCCCCCTTCCGCGCCTGCGCACTCCCCACGCCAGTCCCCTCCTCGCCGCCGACGCGACGCGCGCCTGCGCACTGCTTCCCCATGTGTGCTCGGTCCGTCAGCCGGCCCGGCTGAGCAGTGGCACTAAGTCCGCTTGCTGGTGAGGCCGTGTCACCGGCTCGGCAGCCTTCTCCGCCTCCTGCTGCCTTCCTCTCTCGGCCTGTCCCCACAGCGCACGTCGCCATGGGCAAGAGCCGGACGAAGCGCTTCAAGCGCCCTCAGTTCTCCCCTACGGGCGACTGTCAGGTCGAGGCTGCTGCGGCGGCGAACGGGACAGGAGGCGAGGAGGACGACGGGCCGGCGGCGGAGCTGCTAGAGAAGGTGAGGCGGGGGCTCGCCGGGCCCGCGGGGACGGGGAGCAGGGCCGGGCCGGCGCGGAGCCCTGGGCGGCCCCCGCGTCCCCGGCGCGCGTGCGCACTGCGCGCCCTCTGACTCCTCGCTCTCGCCCGCAGCTCCAGCACCCGAGCGCCGAAGTCCGCGAGTGCGCCTGCGCGGGGCTGGCCCGGCTGGTGCAGCAGAGGCCGGCGCTCCCGGGCCTGGCGCGCCGCGACGCAGTGCGCCGACTCGGGCCGCTGCTGCTTGACCCCAGCCTGGCTGTCCGGGAGACGGCGGCCGGCGCGCTCAGGTGAGCCGGGGGTCCGGGGCGGTGCTACCGCGGCAGTCAGCACTTTCCCTGAGCAAGGCACTGTCGCAGTCTCCCTTTCGTCCTCGGCGCTTGCCGCGATGGCTGGGAGGACGAATAACCTGCCCCGCGACTCGCGTTTGCAGAGGGGGTAATTTGAACCCCACTCCAGGCTCCAGAGGACCGCAGCACCCCCAGACCACTGGCATTCCGCCTGTCCACCTGGCTCCTTCACCTTTCACCTGCAGCAGCCACCTGCCAAGGCTTCCTGCCCTCACGTCTGGTGCATATTTTATCCTCTCCAAGAACCTCCCGTGGAGTCCCCTGGTTGGAGGAACTCTTCCAGTCTGTGCCAGGAGTTGCTCTAGGTGCAGGGGATTTGGAATAGGCAGACGGTGAGCAAGACAGCCAGGATCCTGTCTTGGCAGAAGCTATGCTAATGGGGAGGCAGAAACTAGTAAAAAGGTAAAACATAGTATTAGATAGAATTACTATGGAAAAATGAGATGGTGATGATTTGAGAGTGGGAAGTTTAAATTCGGTGCGGTATAGGTGATATTTATGAACCTATCTCTGAAGGATGAGAGCGCCAGTCATGGGAAAATAGGGGAAGAGCATTCCCCACAGAGAGAACAGCAACAGCGAAGAAGCAAGGCAGCAAATGGCTTGGCATGGTTAAGGAGCAGAAAGGCTAGTGCGGCCAAGTAGAGTGGGCGTGGGGAGCAGAGTATGAGCTGAGGCTGCAGAGATGAGATGCTCGAGGTGGAGGATGGTGTAAGGCTGAAGGACTTGGGCTAAGCAGGAGAGTGACATGATCTGAATTACCTTTTGAAAAGGCCACTCTAAGTGGCTGTGCAGAGAATGGACTGTAGAGGGGGCAAGAGTAGAAGTTAATATTTTTAATTCTTATAGCTCTATTATCTAATGTTTCATCTATTGATTTAGCAAATATATACCAAGTGCCTATTGGGCTAGCCTGTGGGCATGGGATAGTGAGCAAGACAGATATAATTTCTGTCCTTAATCTTATTGTCGATTGAGGGACACAAACATTAACCAAATAATCACATAAATGTATAATTACAACCAGTGGTAACCACAAAGGACACTATGTGAGGGTACAAATGGAGGTTCAGGGAAGGAAACCCTGAGTAAGTGGTATTTGAAGTGAGACCTGAGGTGTGAGTGGGGATTAACAGCCTGATGGAGGAGGGGTAGATATCCTACCGCTGAGGAGGAAACAGCATGTGGGAAGTTCTCTTTCCCCCAAACATACACAAAGTGGGAGCTCCTGTGAGATTGTGGGGGCATCTTCTGACTTATCTCCATATCCTTAGAGCCTAGCATAGTTCTGTGCACGCAGAAGGCCAGTGATGGCTTTCCAATAAAATTAAATTTAGCCAGGCCCGCTTTATGCGGTCATTCCCAGTAGCCTCACCTTGCAGTCTCGATTCCAAGAAAAGGTCTCTTCATACATGATGTGATTTATTCGTATTGAATGGGGAAAGTCTTCTCCCCTCTCCCTTTCCTGTGGCCATGCACCTGTACTGTCTCAGACCTAGGTTGTTACATAGCAAAGTCTTTTTTTTTTACATCATGTACAACAAGGATCAGAACAGGTGGAAATCTTGTGGGTTGGTTCTCCAGCATATGACGGAAATAATCAGCGATTTCCTCTGGGAAACCTTAAGTATGATTAAAAATAGAAATAAATTTGAGAGTTTAATTGCACTTTGTGACATGAAAGTAAAACATGTTTTAAACTTTTTGTGTAGAAATCTGAGTGCTTGTGGAGGTTTTGAAGTTTGTGATGACATGGTGACTAAGGATATCATGACTCCCCTGGTTGCACTGCTAAAAGAGGTATGCAGTTTACAAAGTATTTTGATGGCAGCTTCCAAATGTAGCTTTTAGGATGCACACTTAGGCCTTTTTTTAGTACTTTGGTGTTAGTTACTTTTGTTTTCTCTTAAAACATTGTGTGGGAATTTCATTTCTTTTCTTGGAAACATAGCTCTACTCTGATTGATACCATTCTCTGTTTTATATCCCCTGCTTTTATTTATATGATAGTGGAAAAAGACCTTCCTACAACTATACATACTAACTAACTCCTTTAGACTTTAAATTTCTTACACTGAAAATAATTAGTACTTATTATTTCCTTACTTATGTGTCAAGTACTGTTTTTATGTTTTGCATATTATTTAATCCTATCCTTACAGTATCCTATGGGGCAGGTATTATTCCCATTTTAAAAATGATGAAGCTGGGGCACAGACATACGGAACCTGTCATGAAGATTGCATTAAGTTCTCATATTTAATATGCCAGTCTTACTGCGTGATATCCTTCAGGGTTTAAGGAGTTCTCTCTCTCTGATGTGTTTTTGGTCCACTATTCTGTATTGATGGGTAATTATCACTTAAAGTTATATAAAGGATATCCACCTTTTTTGTTTTTGAGACAGAGTCTCACTTTGTTTCCCAGGCTAGAGTGCTGTGGCATCAGCCTAGCTCACAGCAACCTCAAATTCCTGGGCTCAAGCGATCCTACTGCTTGAGCCTTACTGAGTAGTTGGGACTACAGGCATGCGCCACCATGCCGGCTAGTTTTTTCCTATATGTTTTAGTTGGCCAATTAATTTCTTTCTATTTTTAGTAGAGACGGGTCTCGCTCTTGCTCAAGCTGGTTCTGAACTCCTGACCTTGAGCCATCCTTCCGCCTTGGCCTCCCAGAGTGCTAGGATTACAGGTGTGAGCCACCTTGCCCGGCCAGAATGTCCACTTTTCATGAGAGGCATCAGTCCTGTTCCTTTTAGAGCAGTGATTCTCAGCTGGGGCTGATTTTGCTCTGTAGAGGATGTTTGGCAGTATCTGGAGACGTCTTTTGTTGTTACAGAGCTTGGGGGTAAGAGTTGCCGCTGGCATCCAGGGGGTAGAAACCAAGGATGCTACTAAATATTCCACAGTGTGTGGGCACGCGCGCGCACACACACACAAAATTATCTGGTCCACAATGTAACTAGTACCTAGAGTGCAAAGCCCTGCTTTAGAGGGTGCCCTGGACTATACTAGAGGGGCTTAATAGGACCAGCTTTGGAGCCAGAATGCCTGGATCTGAATCCAGCTTCACCACGTACTAAGCTATACGTTCAGCAACCTCCTTGGACCTGAGTTTCCTATTTGTAGCTGGAGATTGAGGATAATAGTTCACCTACCTCATAGGTTTGTTGTGGAGTTTAAATGAGTTAATATATGTAAAGTGCTTAGAATAGTGCCTTAGAAGGTGTTATCTAGATGTTAGCTTTTATTTTATCTTTCTTTGCCTTCTTTACTGTCTTTTATTACATTAGCTAAAATACTTTGTATTGACTTTTTGCTTTGATTTAAAATGTGAAACGCTTCACATCCAATTTTCACAATGACTTGAGGGCCTTTCTTATCTGTGTTCTTGCCAAAAGGGAAGCAGGGTTGTGGGAATTGCACTGCTTATGAGAATTTGATTGGCTTGTTAACCACTATAATTTCTGATGTTTAGCTTTTGATTCATCACTATCATTAGCCTTTTTGTTTAGTTATTCTTTTGAGCCAGGGTGCTAATCATGATATTTGGTTACAGTGTAGTGCTGGACTGGATTCAAATGAGACGTCTCCAAAGGAGAAAAAAGATCAGAACAGAAACTCTATTGAGAACATAGCCAATGAGGCTGTCAACGTATTGTGGAATATATGGTAAGATGCTTTCCAAATAGCCTCCTGCTACACTCTACTCGGGCTGCTGCTATTTATGTTAAACTGCATAGGATCCCCTTGGTAGGCCTGTGAATCCATAACATTAGTACTTGGTAGGAGGTGAACTAAGATCACCCCTCCTTCCCAGTCCCTTTTTCTCTTAACATCACTATATCTTTTTTGTTGTTGTTTGTTTTAGATCTCATCTCTCCAGTCATTGCTACTGACAAAAATAAGAGGTATCATGACCATTATCACTTACTGTTCTTCCTTTCAGCCCCAGCTGCCTGCATGCCCTAAGCAGCATTTGTCTTTAAAGCTGGTTAGGCCTCAGTTTAGTAGCTGCTTTGTTTTGGCATCTGGAATGAGAAGGGGACACACAAAGGATTTAAGCAGGCTAGCTTCCCTGGCAGTTACCATTTGCATGGAAGTATACCCCTAAGTAGGAAGGCCCCAGTAGGAAGAATGCCACTTGTCCAGGTCATGATTGTAGCAGTGGTGGGATGGAGCTGACTTGCTGCTAGGAAGGAAAATGGCTAGAAACACAACCTGGATTTACTTTTTTCTGCCCCGGTTTATGTCTAACATTTCTAGGAAGATTTGTCAGAGTTCTTTATTTTCAGTCAGCAGCGATTATAATGGCTGACCCAAAAGCACAGGTGTTTCTTAGGCTACAAGATTAAGTTGGATCCAGAAAAGCTGCCCGTGTAGCAGTTTGAACTTTCCTGTGATTTCATTTTAAACTAGTGGATGCATTCCACCAGAAATATTGGAGAGATCAGATTTGAGGAAATAGCATTTGAGCAAACTGATGGATGCTCTTTTTCTGTGCATCAGTTAACTTTAACTTACATAAACTGTTGGACTTGGAAGTTAAAGTCTTTTCTTTGAAAAGAGTCTGAATATGTCTCGAAGTGCCTGTGAGCCCTGTCTGTATCATTTATAGTTATCATAGCTCTTAACATTTTTGTTTTATAGTTTATATTTTAGATTATCTTTACACATGTATGCCTTATCTTCCTCACTGTACTGTGGGATCCTTCAATGCTGCAGTGACTGAATATATAAAAAGATTGCAGACAGAAAATATTTTTCCTGAGATAACAGATTTAAGTTAGTAATTTAGTCAGCTGTGTTAGTAGTGTGTCATGTTTATATGTGGTATATGTGGAGAAATACCTTTCTCTGGAAACATGGATAAATTATTAGTTTGATTTACACTGTATTTAATGTATATGCTTTTATTAGTAACATTGATAGCTTTCTGAATCTTATTAAAATGTAATGTAATTTCAAAAATAATTATTATAGTAATTTCTCTGTTGCAAACTGAAAAATCTACTTGATGAAATTATAACCAAGGTTTAAAAAGAATGAATAAAATATGATTTTATAATATTTTCTTCTAAATTTGTGCTTTTTCTTTGATAAGTATGGAGGCCTTTTTCCTTTAATTTATTATTGCTGTGGTGTAGTGGAAAGAAAGAACCATAGACTAGACCCAGGGCACCTAGATACTGGGCTGAGCTGTACCACTAACTGAATGTGTGATCTTTGGATGGATCACTTCACCATTTGGGGCCTGATTCTCCTCATTTATAAAATGGGGAGTTGAATTAAATGATTTATAAGATTTCTTCCAGCTCTAACCTTCTGTGAGGAAATTAGCATCATGGTAAAGAGATTGATTAAAAGGTCCCATTGTGACAGAAATGAAATACAGATAGCCATTTCTTCTCATGTACAGTGAGTAAGAATGGGCATTAGTTTCTTCATCTGTAAAAATGGTGGGTGTTTGACTTCTGCTCTCTGGTTAATAAAGCCTAATTTTTTTTTTTGATGGATTTCTGTGGTTGATTTCTTAATGTTAAAATGTGAATAGTAAAACTTTTTTTTCCCCTTCAATTTAGTGAATGCAGTAGTAGAGCAGTATCTATATTCAACAAAGAAGGGTGTTTGGAGATTGTATTAAAGTATTTAAGTAGGTTTTCCACCAATGTTGACCTGGCTATTTCAGTAGGTAAGTGAAGAAAAGGTGATGATTTATTAAGTATGTGTAGCCTTATTCAAAAATCTTTATTCAGACATAGTATGTTTATTCTGCAGGAGTGATTTTCTTTTCTTATTGTATGTAAATGTGTAGCTGAGTTCTGTTTGTTCTGAATCTTTTAAAGTCTGTGATTAATACTTAATAGTTTTCCTGCTTTTGACTCCGGAAGGGGGGGAAGGGTAATTATGTGAGCATATTTGGTTTTTAGTCTGTTACCATTCTGGAAGCCTTGATTAATTCTTGAAGTTTTCATCTCCATTTACTAAGAAACAGTAGCCTACAACTACCAGGCCTGTAAATCAAAGTTAATTGGAATCTAGGCTTACTTAAATGTCCTGAACTACTGTCTCATACTTCCAGCAGAAAACTGATAGCCTGCTTTTTCTTCTTTTTTGAGAGAGAGAGGGGGGAGAAGTGATTGAAATTTCACTTAGGGGCCCCTGCCCTTTCCATGAGACAGGGAGGCAAAATCCAGCAACTCCAGCTGCCTTGCTGCGGCTGGGGAGCTGCTGCGAACCCTCAGCTCAGCAGGGAGAGGAGACAGAAACCAGAGGGTGGGCAGCTGAACAGAATTCTGGGTGAGGGTGGAGAAATAACTGATGAAAAGCATTTCTTTTCTGTCCACCGTCATGGCAAGCATCCAGCTGTCCTTTATTTAATTGTGCATTTCTCCTACCAAGGAAGAAGTACATTCTCCTTACTGCTGTTTCTTTTGGCTCTAATGGATACTTTTAAGAGAATAAAACAGAAAAAAAAAAATAGTGGAATAAATACTGTTGGGAAAATTTTAAAAATCAGTTTTTCCAAGTGAATCCTGATGGGGGTTATAAGTAAATGGAGATTTTAAAAACAGTTCAGCTGTTTTTAGGAAATTGGTAGATGACTTTTAATCTCAGGAAAGTTTTTATTACAATAAGAGGATTTCATGTAAGTTAGTTCATACCTTTTAAAAGAAAAACTTCACTTCCATTATATTTTTGTGCCTTTAGTCCTGTAGATTTAGGGGGTTATTTATTTATTTATTTTTTAGTTTTTTTTCCCCACTAATGAACTTTTTTGAAATGAATCAGAGTAAAGTCATTTTGCCTATTTAATAGTGTTTTCCTTCTGCATTCCGTTAGATTCATGATTTTTAAAACATGTTACTTTTTTTTTTTTTTTTTTTTTTTTTTGACTCATAGGAAGCTTTTGTAAAACATGTTACTTTTTTGAAAGTCAAGCAAGGCTTACTTGGCTGGGCCTGGTGGCTCACACCTGTAATCCCAGCACTTTGGAAAGCTCAGGCAGAGCACTCACTTGAGGCCAGGAGTTCAAGACCAGCCTGGGCAACATAGTGAGACCCTGTCTCTATAAAAATTTAAAAAACATCGTTGAAAGTAGAGTGAACTTACAGGATTCCATCCTACATATGTGTTAATATAACTTTCTTCGCCCTTGCAATTATTATGGTAGCAATTACAGCTTGTCTTGGCTTTTTGTTAAAGTGAATTTAGTCTCTTAATAAAAAAAATGACATTTGGATATATGTATATGTACATATATGCATATACATGGATTTGTATACAAATGTAATTTGGGAACCAAACTAGATGACAGTAGTAGCATGCATTTGACTATGTATACTTTTTTTTTTTTTACCTCTTGTCTTTTTCTTTTATTTAGAGATAGGGTCTTACTCTGTGGCCCAGTACGGCAGCACAATCATAGCTCACCCTGACTTTGAATTCCTGGGCTCAAGAGATCCTCCTGCTTCAGCCTTCCAAGTAGCTAGGCCTACAGCCACATACCACCACACCCCGCTAATTTTTTTATTTTTGTTTTGTAGAGATGGGATCTCGCCCTGTTGCTCAGGCTGGTTGGTCTTGAATTCCTGGCCACAAGCAATCCTCCTCCCTGGGCATTTCAAAGTCCTGGGATTACAGGTGTGAGCCACCAGGCCTGGCTCCTATTTTTTAATTTACTCATATGTTTATGTAAAATGACTTTTATATCTTAAAGAACTAGAACTATTGATTCACCAGAAATAACCCTAAATTTTACTGTCATGATGAATTTAAAAGAAGCTAGAGTTCTCCCAAACCTAGGACTTTTTATCAGCAACAGAATTAACTATGAGTGTGATCTGTGACTGTTTGCTTCTAATTTGTGATAACCACATAAATTGAGGATAAACCTCTATAAGTGTTTATAGTAATTTGACATTGCCACAACGTTTAAGAGCTCTTTTAATTGTACTTTATAAAAGTGTAGTTCCTTAAAGGATTAGAAATTTTAAAAGAAAAGAAAAAAGATCTTTTACACTATTGATAGTTTGGGAAGCCTCATTTTAATAAACCATTCTTGAGGTAAAGCATATGTATTCTACAAAAGCTACATGTGTCTAAAAAAATGGTAAAGGTGTGAATTTTTTTTTGATGAGTTATATGATATAAATTATCCTAAGCAAAATTCACTTATTTCTAAATATTTATTTTTTGTTTTACAGCATATTGTTTGCAGATAGTGACTGAAGATAACCCAGAGCTACTGAAATCTTTCAGTGCAGAAGCATTGCATGTGCTGGAATCAGCAATGCTGTCTCCTGTCAAGTCCCTGGAATACTGTCTGTTGAAAACATTAGTGGCAGGTAAAATTTAGCCTTGTGAGATGGTGTACCTTTTTAGTGACTTGGAATGGATAGCGGGGGGTGCCAAAGTTTAGTCATTCTTTTGTTTCACCACATCAGGGCCTTTTGTGCTTATGTCTGTTAAAATTTTTTTTTTTTTTTTTTTTTTTTGGGTGAGACAGATCTCGCTTTGTTGTCCAGGCTAGAGTGAGTGCGTGGCGTCAGCCTAGCTCACAGCAACCTCACACTCCTGGGCTCGAGCGATCCTTCTGCCTCAGCCCCTCGAGTAGCTGGGATACAGGCATGCGCCACATGCCCGGCTAATTTTTATATACATATCAGTTGCCAATTAATTTGTTCTATTTATAGTAGAGACGGGTCTCGCTCTTGCTCAGGCTGGTTTTGAACTCCTGACCTTGAGAAATCGCCCGCCTCGGCCTCCCAGAGAGCTAGGATTACAGGCTTGAACCACCGCGCCCGGCCTTGTTAAAATTTTAATATTTAAGTGGAGACCCTCAATTCAAACAGTTGTCGATAGCTGTGAAGCCTCATAGAACAGATTGTTTTTAATTAACAAAACTACTCTTATCTGATAAAGAAATGCTGTTGTCAGGATCCTCTCTTATTTATGAACCAGTGATTTCAGAAATTCACTCTGGGGCATTCAAGACTTGACCACTTAGTTTTCCATAGTTCTTTACCATCAACCCTTTTGCAGAAAAAAGGAATGATATGGTCTGTTTAGTAGGATGTACTATATTTAGCTTTTGTATATATTTTTTGTATATATTTTCATATATATTATATATGCCCTGTGACCTTACAGAGGTAATTTATAGAAAAGTTTTTTTAAAATTGTAGCAAATAACACATAAAATTTAAGATCTTAATAATTTCTAAATGAATAATTCAGTGATGTAAACTGTATTCAGATTGTTATGTAACAAATCTCCAGAACTCTCTTTATCTTGGAAAACTGAAACTATACCCATTAAATAAGAACTTTTCCCCTCCCACCAGCCCTTGGAAATCAGCATTGATTTAGTGAATTTGACTGCTCTAGATACCTCATATAAATGGAATCATAACAGTATTTGTCTCATTTTTTTGTTTGTTTGTTTGTTTGTTTTTGAGACAGAGTCTCAGTCTCTTGCCTGGGCTAGAGTGCCATGGCGTCAGCCTACCTCACAGCAACCTTAGACTCCTAGGCTCAAGCGATCCTCCTACCTCAGCCTCTCGGGTAGCTGGGACTACAGGCGCACACCACCGTGCCCAGCTAATTTTTTCTATTTTTAGTTGTTTGGCTAATTTCTTTCTATTTATAGTAGAGACGGGGTCTTGCTCTTGCTCAGGCTGGTCTCGAACTCCTGAGCTCAAGCCATCCTCCAGCCTCGGGCTCCCAGAGTGCTAGGATTACAGGCGTGAGCCACTGCACCTAGTCGGTCTTTTTGTGACTGGCTTATTTCACTTAGCATAATATCCTCAAGGTATATCCTTATTGTAGCATGTATGAGAATTTTTTTCCTTTGTAATGCTGAATAATATTTCATTATATGTATATACCACCTTTTGTTTAATACATTCATCCATCAATGAACACTTGGGTTGCTTCTACCTTTTGTCTACTATGAATAAAAAACCTCCTTTCAAGGCCCAGTGCAGTGGCTCACGCCTATAATCCTAACACTCTGGGAGACTGAGGTGGGAGGCTTGCTTAAGCTCAGGCGTTTGAGACCAGCCCGAGCAAGAGCAAGACCCCATCTCTACTAAAAATAGAAAAATTAGCCAGGCATGGTGGTGTGCTTTAAGTAGTCCCAGCTACTCAGGAGGATCACTTGAGCCCAGGAGTTTGAGGTTGCTGTGAGCTAGGGTGATACCACAGCACTCTAGCCCAGTAGCCTGAGCAACAGAGCAAGACTCTGTCTCAAAAAACAAACAAACAACCCCCCCCCCCAAAAAAAAAAAAACGTGCTCTGTGGATTTTATATGATACTGGAATGTTAGTACATGCCATTCTACTCTTGGAATATAAGAATCTGCTGAGGACAGCTTAGGTTAAGATGAAAGGAAGCAAGGCAACTCACCTTGTCATTTTAAAAGAAACTTGATCAGGGTTCTCTTAGTCTGCTAATCAATGGTACATCAGAGAAAGGCATTGTGTGCCAAGAAAGGGAGATGATTGTGAAGGGTTATAACAAAGGGTGCTGCCTCTGTGCAGTACTTTTTGACATTTAATAAAAACTAAACAAAGGCAGTAGAGTTGAGATTTTTTGAAATTATACCTGAGTTAAAAGCATCAGTCTTGTGGAAACTAAACTTAAAGATTTCACAGGCAGTTCTTAACCTTGTGTTCATTTTTTCCCAGGCACAATTTGGAATCTAAAGGACATTATTCCATGCAAGAGTCAAGCAGAAATCATAAATGCCATACTAAAGATCTTATCTGAAGTTTTGGAAATGGATGCTGGTGAAACAGTTATTCAAATGAAGGAGGCTGAAACTCAAAGGTTAAAAACCCTAGCAGAGACTGAGGAAATACTAGAGAATGCTAATGGTGGTGATTTGATTGAAGATGATGAAATGGAAGAAATTCTTCATAAGAGAAAAGTCAGAAGGAAAACTTTTGCTTCAGATTTACTGCCAGTAAGTCAAATTGATGCTCTCAAACGTGGAATAATACAACTGTTTTCTTTCAATAGATATCCTTAAGCTTTATAGAAAAATGTTATAGCAAAGTAAGCCATAAAGTTATTTTCAGTAAAAATCAGTCATATTTTCCCATCAACACTCATCATAATCTTAGAAATCTATTCCAAAGGGGGGGAAAAATCTCTTGTCTAAGATGATACTTTTACATGCAGGAGAAGATTTCAAAGACGGGATAGACTTATCCTTATGGAACACTTTAAAAGTATACAATGGGCCAGGCCCGGTGCTCACGCCTGTAATCCTAGACTCTGGGAGGCCAAGGCGGGTGGATTGCTTGAGGTCAGGGGTTTAAGACCAGCCTGAGCAAGAGCGAGACCCCGTCTCTACTATAAATAGAAAGAAATTAATTGGCCAACTAATATATATAGAAAAAATTAGCCGGCCATGGTGGCGCATGCCTGTAGTCCCAGCTACTCGGGAGGCTGGGGCAGCAGGATTGTTTGAGCCCAGGAGTTTGAGGTTGCTGTGAGCTAGGCTGATGCCATGGCATGCACTCTAGCCTGGACAACAAAGCAAGACTCTGTCTCAAAATGAATGAATGAATGAATACAGTGATCTTCCTAACTTTTGTGTCTCCCCACTTCTGTTATGTACTGTGTGCCAGACTGACTTTAAACTAAAGAAATTTGTACTTTGCTTGAATTGTCTCTTCCATTCCTGTCTCTTTTATTTTAGTGTTTAGCCTTATCAAGGTGGCAAGCCAAACCATTTATCTACTACTGGGCAGAAGAGGTTGGGTGATTGATTGTGAGTTCAATGTTTTGTAGTTTTTGCAGATGGGGCAATTGTAGTCTACTTGTGCTGGTGGTGTGATGTTGGGGTGAGATGAGAAATCTTGGGTACAGGAATCATTTTGGCTGAGACAAGTCAACAGAGATGAAGCCATACTTTGGGAGAACATTTCTCCTAAGGATGAAAGCAAATAAATAGGAAGACAGGACAGTGAGTTAGGCTTTATTTGTTCAGGTGTACATTTACTGTGCTCCTAATGTGTGCCAGGCAGCATGCTTGATGCTGGCAATATAGAAAGATGATTAAGACATGTTTTTGGCCTTTGGGAGTTTCCTCTGTGCTGGGAAAACAGATACATAAAACCATAGGCCTATGCTAAGAATAGTCATAGGGCTGTGCACAGATTTCTAAGGTAGTAGTTTCTGTAAACTAGCTACACATAGCTCAGCCCTGATGGGAGAGGAAAGGAGGAGGTTGTCAGAAGACTTTGGGGGAAGAATACCTCAGCTGTCTTAAAGGATGAGATAAGAAAATGCAGGTTAGTGTTCAGAGAGATCGCTGAGGCAGCAGGATGGAGGGAGAATATAAGGGCCTAGCAGCAAGAAGACCAGTCAGGAAGCTACTGAAAGATGTAAAGTCTGAACTGGGAGAATGCTATTCACGTCTTCTCTGCTTTCTTGCATTCGTGAAGTCTTGGTTGCTACTGTGAAAGGTATTCAGTCATTGATTTGGTTCTCAGCTATTTGTGAAGTCTTGGGAAGCATAAATTGACAGTGTTTTAAAGAAATCATCCTCTCTTCCCGCTCCTATATGAAGAAGGCATGAGTGCAAATCACCATGTTAAATGATAGGGCAAATACAGAAATGAGGAGGCCATCTTGTCCATAAGTTGCCGGCAAATCTTTTCATTTATTTTTTAAATTATGAGACAGGACCTCGCTATGTTGCTCAGGCTGGACTCAAACTCCTGTACTTAAGCAGTCCTCCCACCTCAGCCTCCCAAGTAGGTGGGACTCTACAAACAGTTTTTAAAAATTAGCCAGGTGTGGTAGCACATGCTTATAGTCGCAGCTGTTGGGGAGGCCAAGATGGGAGGATCCCTTGAGCCCAGGAGTTGGAGGTTGCAGTGAGTTGATTGCATCACTGCACTCCAGCCTGTGTGACAGAGCAAGACCCTGTCTATAAAAAAGAGAGAGAGAGAGAGAACCGTAGCAACATCATCTCTTCATCTGTAATGTGCTTGGTTTCATATCTGTGTGTGGAAAGGGCGAGTATAATGAATCAATGCTAATAGGGTCTTTTTCAGCTGTGGGCACTGTACCGCTCGGGTTTGTTTATTCTGACTGATCCAGGTACACCGTATTGAAGAGTCTGAAATCCCTTGCTGGGAATGGGAGAGTGGCATTCTTGTGAGATTGTCCCCATCTCCAGCCTTGCTTCCCAGGGGCTCCAAAAGGGAGTAAGTGGAGGTTGAGATCCAAGTGTACCAAGGTTAAGATAGAAGTGCTACTGTTTTAAATTTGGTATTTAACTGTTACATAGAGATTTATTTTCTTAAGTAATACTTAAAAATGGAATTTTGGTGCTTATAAAATGCAATGTTTTTTCATAGTAAAAACTTGTTTTTGAAGTCTTCCTAACATCACTGACTAGACTAGGTAATTAACATGCTGGTCATCCAGCCAACCAGTGTTTCAGTGCTGGTGGGGTGCTAGGCATCATGCTCATATGTGCCAGGAATACACATTATAGTCAGCTGTGGTCTTTCCCACTGCCTGGTGGCTTTTGCAGGAGTCCTTCAGAATACCCCTTAATTGTATCATTTAACTTAAGAACGTATAATCATAAATATGTTAAAAAAAAAAAAAAGAGCAGTTCAACCCAAGTTTTTTTTCCCAACACATGAAAAAGTAGGGTACCCTTGTCCAGCACCCATAGTTAACCAATTTTCACATCATGGTCTGTTTTATGTCATCTATTTGCCCACTCACTCTCCCTTTTCTCTACTGATCATTTTGAAGCAAATCTCAGGTGTCATAACCTTTCATCTAGATTCATTCATTCTTTATGTCAGCTTGATAAGAAGCAGGGAAATGTTTAAGTAGGAGTTACATAAAGAAGCAGACCTTAATTTCAGAGTTCATGTTAAGCCAGAACATGGCCATGGTTAAAATACATGAAGATACATTTTAAGTGGGTAAGAACCCAGCAACATATCTTATTTAGCTTTGAGTCTACGCTAATAAATGTTTGTTTAGTTGAATTATCACACACAAAGCAAATAGAAATGATTTTTATATTCATGCTAGCAATAAATGGAATACAAATTTAGGGATCCCTGGGCTACAAGCTATTAAATTAGCAGTTTGCTTTTTTTTTTTTTAGGAACATGGTTCAAAGTTGCAGTTAAATTTTTGCACAAAGAAGTTGTTGGTGAGATTTTAAGTATAAACATTCTGGAAAGGAAAATGGGAATATGTCACAGGATATATAAATGTGTTTTTAACCTTTGACCCAGTAAATTGGAGGAAATAAGATATACAAGTAATCTGAAAGATTCCACACTAGTGAAATGCTTTGTAAATTATAGTGTATCCATTAATGGAATATTGCAGCCACTAAAAATACAGTAAGAAAACTCAAGATTTGGAAACATTCAACCAATAAAATATACATTATTTTTAGCTTATGTACTATTTTGGAATATCATGGTGGCTTTTTACTTTTCATAGACAATTTGAGAATTAAGGTCATATAAATTTATACTACTCTTTTGAAGAAATGTTAATTGTAGAGTTAATACTATGTATTTTCAGAGAAAAAAGTCCCCTCCTTTCTTCATTCTCAAAGAAGTGCTTTATTGTAGTCTTTAAAGAAAGCCAGGAAGCAAGTCTGTCTGTTCCTTAGCAAGCTCTCTTGGTCACATAAGGGCTTGTTAGAAGTGTGTGTTAATGTAGCCATTCCAAGAAGGCCTCTGAGCTTTAAAAGCAGGTTCATTGTATGTAAGTGCCTGGTGTCTGAAATGAACTCCTTTTAATACTAGTATGCTCATCTCTTCCTTAACACATTCGATTAAGTTTCAGGGTGAATTCAGTCTAGAATTCCTAAATATTTATCTGTTCTCCCCAGCTTACTAAGCAGTACTTACAGAATAACCATGCAGATAGATGGAAATCCGGCTGACAATAGTGTGCTGCACTGTGCCAAAAGGAATTATAGTACTGGTTTGTACTTCTGGCACCTTATGACTTTCTTCTATCAACCCCACCCCGCTGTGTTGTATTCCAAGTACAAAAATCTTCTAGTAGGCATTAACTAAGGGAATTCACACTAAAGTATTTTCCCAAATATTGATAATTGGTTTTTTGTTTGTTTCTTTTTTAAGCCTACTGACAAGGAACTGAGAGAGACCATAGCATTGCTGACAGCTCAGCAGATTGCTCTGGAAATTATTGTCAACATGTGCTGCAGTGAAGGTTTGCTACCAGTTTACATCTAGATGTTTATCCCCTGGGCTAAGAGGGGCTCCCATGAAGATTTTCCCAAACATTCCAGGTCTGTGTGGTTTACACTCTTCCCAGATCCCTCCGATGATGAATGGGAAGAGCTTTCTAGCAGTGATGAGAGTGATACATTTATGGAGAATTCCTTCAATGAGTGTGGTGGGCAGCTGCTCTCGCCCCTCTGCCTCTCCCATGAGATTCACACTGCTCTCACCAACTACCTCATCCCAAAGAAGGTAATCTTTTCATTCTAGGCTTATCATGGAGCATGGGAAAGGCTTAAGCAAGCTATTCATTCTGTATGCAAAAAAGAATTAAGCTCACACTTCCAGGTTGTAGATAATGAATGGTAAGATCTGAGACACAAAACCAAACTATTAATAACAATACTGGAAATAAGCTAAAGGTTATTTTATCCTTATCAATCCTAACCATTTCGCTTAGAAATATAGTATGTTGGAATTTTATAAAGGAATCGTGTAAAATGACTACTCTTTAACCTTTTTGTACTGCCTTTTTTAAATCTAGATTTTTGAGAAAACTGCCTTTCCAAACAGCATTGCAGTTGACCTATGTTCTAGAAACCCTACTTGGAAAACTTTGATTAGAAAGTAAGAACTTTTATATTTTTAAAAGCATTTGTCTTTATGTTATTATATGAAATGATGGACCATCAAATAGAAGATGCTGACTCCCCCTAAGACCTAGAAGTTTCGCTCCTTTGGCATATACTGTAAAAAATACGTGCACATGTGCCCTAGGATACACACATGAGGATGCCCATAGCTGTGTGGTTCACATTGCCCGACCTGGAAACAACCTTGATGTTTATCAGAGTTAGAATTGCTAAGTAAGTTCTGATATAATCGTGCAGTAGAATGCAGATAGTAGTAAAAAGGATCTGAACTAGAACCATTCACAGCATGGAAGAAACTTACATTGAACCAAAAAAGCAGAACACAAAAGAATATGCACACTGTGATTTAGTTTTTACAAAGTTCGAAAATAGGCAACACTGAACTATTTTGTTTAGGGATGCATACGTAGGTGTTAAACCTATTTTTTAAAAAAAGAAAGACAGGAAATATTTACCATGAAAGTCTGGAGAGTGGTTACCTCTAAGGGTCAGGAAAGTGGGACATTGTAAGAAGAGATACATGGGCTGTAGGGTGCTGGCAGTGTGTTTCTTATCCCAGGTGCAGGCATATTTGCTTCATAGACTGTTTGTTAAACTCTATATATGTGTTGTATACTTTACCATATATATGCCATATTTCACAATTAAGAATAATTTCAAAGATGCTACCTTGTGTAGAAATTTTTCTAAAACGATTTCTCATGTCTCATGAATGAGTTGTGCATCAGAGGCTTTGAATGCTCAAGCAATTAGATTTGGCAGATTAACAGTTCACCTGGCAATTCTTAGCTAACTGCCATAGACCCCCTTGTATTTACAGATATCCCCTGTCAGAACCTGAAGTTTAGGTTAAAAGTTATTACTGAATTCTGACGGGTAACTTTAAGAGACAGCATTGTCTCACTTCCTTTCTAGAATGAACACCGTACAATGTAGAGCCCTCATGTGTCTCCAGACTCTTGTGTCCCTCCTGGAGGTGGACCATCTGGGAGGAGCCCCAGCCCTACAGACACTCGCACAGCATCTGTCACAACTTCTTTTTTCTCAACCAGGTAAATGTTTAGGCCTTATTGTGAAAGACGACTAGCATGCAGCAGAATTTTGAAGGGGCAGGAACTTGGATCTTATAGTTATACATTGTTTGTCATCTAACCTGCAGAAACCTTTCCCAGACACTAACAATCATGATTTATAGTTGCCCAGGGATATAGAGTCAAGACAAGGTATACAAGCAGCTCTGTGGGTTATAATTTTCTTTTTTTTATTAAAATTGTTTTCATCCAGTTATGTCAGGCCAATTAAGGTTGAATCATAAATATTATCAAGGCTTCATTAAGGTATTTGGATAATTCTATTCTTTTATTAGAAGAGATCTGAGGCCTAACCAGGTACAGCATCGCTGTCATTCTCATGTCATACCTCTTATGCATTCTTTTTGTTGCATGGAATATTTAGAAATCGCATCGTTTCACTGCAATATTGTATTGATGTACTTCATTATGTATGTCCTGAGGGAGAAAATTTTTTTTTTTTTTTATTTTTTGAACAGAGTCTGCTTTCTGCCTACTAGAGTAGTGCCGTGGCGTCAGCCTAGCTCACAGCAACACGTCAACTCCTGGCTCAGCGATCTCCTGCCTCATGCCTCCCGGAGTACTGGACTAAGGCACAAGCCACCATGCCGCTATTTTTATATATATTATTGGCCATTAATTTCTTTCTAATTTTATCGGTAGAACGTGGTCTCGCTCAGGCTGCGTTCTTGAACCTCCTGACTTGAGCATCCGCCCGCCTCGCCTCCAGAGTGCTAAGGATTACAGGCCGGAGCCACGCGCGCCGCCGAAATTAAATTTTTGAAAACTTAACCCGCAATACCAATTCAATTCCCCCCATCCCAAAATTAACAGATTTTTCATTGATCATTGGGTATGCAGTCCCGAGTTCATTTTTCAAATTGCCTTAAAAAATGTCTTTTTAACAATTGGTTTGTTGAATCAGGATTTAGGCAAGGTCCACATGTTAGCTTTTGGCTTATATGTTTCTCCTTAAAGTTTTTTTTTTTTTTTAAATAGCTTTATTGAATTTGTTTCACACACCATTCAACTTACTGATTTAAAGCTATACAGTTTGCGGCCGGCGCGGTGGCTCTCCCTGTAATACTAGCACTCCTGGGAGGCGCAGGAGGGCAGATTGCCTAAGGCAGGATGAACCAGCCTGAGCAAGAGTGAGACCCCCGTCTCTAATAAAGAAAGAATTAATGTGCCAACGTATATAGTATAATTAGCTCGGATGGTGGGCGATGCCTGTAGGTCCACTATCGGGGAGGCTGACGGCAGGATTGCTTGACCCAGGAGTTGAGGTTGCTGTGGTTAGGCTGACACCACGGCACTCTAGCCCGGGTGCAACCAGAGTGGAGCTCTGTCTAAAATAAAAATAAATAAACATTTAGTGTTTTGGTATTATCACAGTTCTTAAATCTCTAATCTATAACATTTTCCCCAGCTATTCTCTTCCTAAGTACCTTTTATTCATTGAAGAAACCGTCATTTTCTGTAGATTTTCCCCATGAATTGGCTTCATTGTATGATGGTTTTATTAGCATGTCCCCTAGCACCCACGTGTACCTAAAGGGACTGGGAAGTGGGTCTAGAGGCTTCCATTAGTTCAGGGTCAAGATATTGTGCAAGAATAATATATAGTGCTGTGTATATTTCCTACTTTATAATTACAAATCATAAATATAATGTCATAAATATAGCAATGCTAAGATTAATTATGGTTCACGTAATGGTTTTAAGCAATCAGCTGATTGCAGTTGCCTAGATCATTAGGGCTAGAAAAGAGATTTCTTTAAGTATCATTTGAACTCAGGATTTTTTTTTTTTTTTTTTTTTTGAGACAGAGTTCGCTTTGTTTGTCCAGGCTAGAGTGAGTGCCGTGGCGTCAGCTAGCTCACAGCAACCTCAAACTCCTGGCTCTGAGCGATCCTTTCTGCCTCAGCCTCCCGAGTAGCTGGGACTACAGGCATGCCACCATGCCGGCTAATTTTTTTTATATATCATATCAGTTGGCCAATTAATTTCTTTCTATTTATAGTAGAGACGGGGTCTCGCTCTTGCTCAGGCTGGTTTTGAACTCCTGACCTTGAGCAATCCGCCCGCCTCGGCTCCCCAAGAGCTAGGATTACAGCGTGAGCCACCACGCCCGCCCTGAACTCCAGGATTTTTTAAAATATATTTGTGCTTCATTCCATTATAGTCATGCTTTAGACGCAAAATTGTACTATAGAAGTCCCCTTCAAATTGGCTCCTGTGTCTCTTTGACAAGAATCCTAGGTTTTTTATCACTTTTGCTTCTAAGCATAAGATATCCCAGGCTTAACTTGTAATTATCTTGCTTAAAATCTGGAATCAGTTATTTTTTCCAAGAACCTTGATTTCTTTAGTGGGAAATTGAATTTTTGAGTGTTTATTGATACCATGTTGTCATTACTTCCAAGTCTTTTTAGTGGAAATAGCTAGAAATAAGCCTTTTTTAGGAAGAGAAAAATCTTAATTGTTCTGATATGTCCCACTTACATTAAAAAGGGTATGGTGTTAATAACACTACTGAATGTAGTTTAATATTTCTTTTCTTTTTTCTTTTTTTATTTAAAATTTTAATAGTAACCTTATTACT